ATCGAAAACTATACAATGATGATTAAAGAAAACAAATAAGATCCAAATGAATGGGAACTGGAGGCAAAGCTCACTGACAAAGAAACTGCCTCATAGGTACAAGGACTCCTGAGTTCAATACCTAGCACCAGAGCCAGGCCCAATGACACACAGCTTTAATTCCAGCACTCAGAAGGCTGAAGCAGACAGATTTCTGTGAGTTTAAGAACACCCTAGGCTATATAGTAAGACCCTATTTGAAAACAAAATACACAACAACAAAAATACCTACCACTGGGGCTGGAGAGGTGGCTCAGTCATTAGAAACTTTAGCTGCTCTTGCAGGGGACCCAGGTTTAGCCCAGCACCCACATGGGAGCTAACAACTGTCCTTAACTCCAGTTCTAGGGGATCCAATGCCCTCTTTGGGCTTCTGTGAGCATTGTATGCATATGGTACACTTATATACATGCAGGCAAAACACTCATACACATAGCATAAAAATAAATAATTAAAAAATACCACCATGGGCTGGAGAGATGGCTCAGCAGTTAAGAACACTGACTATTCTTGCAGAAGACCTGGGTTTGAATCCCAGCACCCACATGGCAGCTAACAACTGTTCCTAACTCAAGTCCCAGGGGATCTGACAGCCTCTTCTGACCTCCGCTGTCATTGCACAACATGGATGCACTTACCTACATGCAGGCAACACATGCATACACATAAAATAAAAATTAAATAAAATAAAATTTATATAGAAAGGCAAAGGAACTAGAAAAGCTAAGGAAATCTTAAAAATTAGAGCTGAAAATCTTACACTATTAGGTATCAAGATGGATTTAAGCTGGGCCTGGTGGTGCAGATTTATAATCCCAGCTACTGAAAGCCTGAGACAGAGGAGTAGAAAGTTTTAAGTCCAATTTGAGCAAGTTAACCAGATCTCTGATGCTTCACAAAGAAGGAAGTCTGAGCATTCCTCAGCTCCTCTATAACCTCCCCACTCCCTAAAGACATTTCTTAAACTATCTGCTGCTTCCCTCACCCCAGCTGCAATATGCATTCAGACCCACAAGGAGGTCTGAAAACAAGGGAGGCATTAAAGGGCACCCATGGGGAGGTGGGAGTGGGTTTTTCCCTCAGCTGTGTCAGCATACATGGTAGGAAATCCCCACGGGTGCTGGAAGCCCCAGAAAGGGGGGGGTGTCATGTGAAGAAAGCTCCCTCTTCTCTTTCAAACAGTATGACTTGTCTCAGCGGTCACCAGAGTCACCAGGCTGCCCAAGGGTATGTGAGAGGGGCTTTCAAGCTGGTTGCCAAAGGTTCGCTTCAACCCTGCAGAGACAGGCCCAAGCAAAGACCCTTCTCAGAATGTTCTGTCTCAGGTGGGTAGTGGGTAGAGCAGCTTTGGCATCAAGGCTAAGGTCAGAGGCCTCTGCAATGGGGAACCCCCCTTCATCTGGTAGGAGCAGAACATTAGATGGGTTTGAGTTTTCCCCTAGCTATCCATTGCACCTCATGGTTTAATCACATGAGTCTAGAAGCCCCAGGCACTGATATGACTCTAACCCTGACACAGATCTACCCTATCAGTTTTGAGAGTCAGCAACCTTATTCCTAGGCCAGCATCCAGCAGCTTTCTCAAGCCTCCTTGCTTACAGAGCCTGTTCATGTCTCTTCTGGCCTCTGATCCCAGTATAGCCCCAGAGGCAAAGGATTGACTTTACCCCATTTTATAGGTGTGAAATAAAGTAATCACTCAAGGACAAAGAAATTACCCACTATAAATACTACCTCCACTAAGTGATTAGTAATAGTCTTCATCATCATCTTCATCACCATCATCTTTTTGAGCATCTCTTTTTGGTTGTTTTGTTTTGCTGTGTGTGCATATATACACGTGTGTGTGTATGTGTGTACATGCGTGCGTGCACTTGCATATAAAGGTCATAGGGCAACCTCGGATGTCATTCCTCAGGTACTCTTCTCTTGAAACAGTCTCTCACTGTCCTGGAACTCACCAAGTAGGCTAACTGGCTAGCAAGCATCAGAGACCCACCTATCTTTGTTTGCCCAATGTTGAGATTACAAATGTGTCCTATCACCATGCCAGGCTTTTCTTTTTAACATGGCTTCTGGGGACTCAAACCTAGGTCCTCATGCTTGTAAGGCAAGCACTTTGCCAACAGAGCCATCTCTTTTTGAGCATCTGTTGTATGTTTATAATTAGGTGTTTCATATCTATCAGCTTATTCTTCAGAACGAGCCCAGAAGTAGGCAAGGGTGATCATTTCACACACACAGACAAGATAGTAGTCATACCAAGAGTACAGTTCTAAAAGCACTAATGACTACTAATTCATTTAAATTCCCAAGGGCAATAAGTGGAAATACCATCTCTATTACAGAGATATGGGGACTGAGCTCAGAGACACTGGGTCAAGTGTCTGAGGTCACATCACTAAGTAGAATGGGGATCTGAACGGAGGACATTTACCACTAGTCCACACTGCTGGCAGCTCACCCAACAAAAACTCAGTAATCCTCCCACCTCACTACCCACCAAGTAAAGCCATGGGACGCTCCAGATCTTATGGTTGATCTTTTCTCCTTTACCTAAGAGGTACCTGCCCCTGAACATTGATTCCCAGAAACAAGCTCACAGAGGTAGGCCCCTGCGGGGCAGCATCAGGCTGTGTCAAGCTGGCAAAATTGGAACCCAGTCTGGCTAGCCTCCTTGGCTATATTCTTTGCTGCTCTTGGCTAGTTGAACAACATTGTCAACCTTCTTGCCTGGGTCTTTATTGAAAGTCATTGGATTGAAAGTGGAGGAGGAATTTAGAGGGACAAGAGAACTGTCTGCTTCTCCAGGAAGGGGAAAGAAGAGCTGGGTCGAGGAGAGGGGTGTTACAAACTGACCTGGAGTTGTGGGGAAGGGGTAGCCTAGCAACCACTGGGCTTAGCATGGTCACAAAGCAGCAGGTCTGCACACAGTTCCAATGAGCCTTGCCTTTGATTAGTCTCACCTCTTCCTGGTCAGGCACCAGGGGCTTCTTGCCCATATGCTATAGTGGACATCTTTCTGGTGAGTCCAGGAACCTCTTGGTAGTGGTTGCGGGGGAGGGAGTGAAATAGGCTCTGGATCCAGACAGGAACTAAGGGTTGGGGTTGGGGTCAGGGAAGTCCTATGGCTAGACTGGTGGCCACCTTCAGATCCCTTGTACTTGGCTGAGAGCCCAGGGCCAGAGGCAGGGGAAAACAGGAATGGGCTGCAGTGATCTCATGTGTCTCTCTCTAGAGAAGGCAGACCAAACTGCTAGGTTCCTGTTGACTTCTCTAGTGCGGTGGTGACTCATAGGGAGCTTATTGGAGCAGTTTAATGGGTCATGTCTAACATTCACAAAGCAAAAACAAAGCACAGGATGCAAGTGTCCATGTGTATCACAGGTAGTATGTATTGTTTCAGAGTAATGAGTAAAAAAAAAACAAACAAAAAAGCTGGGCATAGTGGCACATGCCTTTAATCCCAGGCAGAGACAGACTAATCTCTGTGAGTTCTAGGCCAGCTTGATCTACATAGGTAGTTCCAGGCCATCTGGGGCTATGGAGAGAACCTGTCTCAAAAAACAAACAAACAAAAACCAAAGTTCTGAGTAGGTTGCACACACACACACACACACACACACACACACACACACTACATGTATGTGAGTTGAGTCTTGAAGAAAAAATAGATTTCTTACTATCATCATAGGTAAAGTATTTGAGAGTCTCTGTTCTAAAGAGCACCTTTTCCTGTAGTTGGGTGGATACAGGGGTTTCCAAATGCCCCATCTCCAATCATGACGCATCTAAGCACTCAAGAGCCCAGTCCTTGCCATCAAGGATGCCTGCCTGAAGCTTCCTGAAAAGGGAGCTCTGCTCACTGCCTTTAGACAAAAGATCAGGAGCCTGTGAGTCAGATGCCTGGATGCTGGTCCTTGGCTGTGCCACCTCAGATGAGGCCAACCCATCTATACTAACCTGTCAGAGGTGTCACTGGATCATCTTAGAGGGCTTGCAGATCAGTGATTCTGAGGATTAACTGTGAGAATGCTGAGTACTTGTATCAGGTTCATAGACTTAGGTTAATTATAATTCTTGGTTTCATTCATTTCATTTAATTAGTTTAATATACATTGAACTGAAATGAATGTGCTACCCGCTTAGAGAACTACAGTGTTAACCACTAACACATCTGCTGTGTGCTCTTCTGCCCTCCTCCCACCCAGAAATAGCCACTAGGGGAATTTTGCATTTCCGTGCTTTTTGGCTGTCATTGTCTAAGCTCGTGTTCATGATAATGTTTGCTTATGAACTTTAAAAAGTTTCTTTTTTTACATTTATTTTTTTATTTTGTATGTGGGGTTGGGGTGGGGTATGCATGCCATAGCACATGTATGGAGATCAGAGAACAGCTTATAGGAGTCAGTTCTCTCCTTCTACCATGTGGGTCCCAGAGACTGAACTCAAGTTGTTAGGCTTGGTGGCAAGTGCCTTAACCCACTGAGCCATCTTGCTGGTCCTGTGAACCTTTATTTTTAAAGTGTATTTCATGATACATGGGCTTCTGAAACAAGCTAAGCATTATATTTGTAAGATTCATCCGTGCTATGTCATGTCCCTGTGGTTTGTTGCTTCTCACAACAATCTAAAAGCCCTGTGGTCTGAACGTAACCCAGCTCACTCATGGATTCTGCCATTAGACATCTGAGATGTCACCGAGTTTATTTATTTATTTGTTTATTTATTTATATTTTGGACAATGTGAATAGCACTGTTCTCATAGATAAGCCCTGTTGCACATCTGCAAGAATTTCTCTTATGTCTGGGAGAGAAACTGCTGGGAGATACGATGTACAAGTGTTCAATTTAACAAAAATTGTCCCCTTTACTCCCTAATTGTTCCAGTTTCTACTCCTGCCAAAGCATCGTGAACACTGGTGTTAGGTGTTTTAGTCTTTATCCTGTTGGAACCTACAATGGCTACGGAGGTGAAAACCCAGTTGGCTGAGCATCCACTAGCAAGGTGGGGGCCTAAACACCCACGTGACAAGGAAGATGGAAGGAGGGCAAAGGCGGTCTTGGGGGGACTCGGTAAACTGAGGTTCAAGTTCCAGGAAGGCAGCAGCCCTTCCTCACCTTGAGCTGTCATTTGCCAGGGCCTGGATGGTTGAGTTAGCACAGGTTTCTGGGATAAGACATGGGCAGGAGGCAGGGCAGGAGCGCAGGTGATCGGTTTCCAGTTACTTCCTGTTAGTTGGGAGTGGAGAAGGCTGTTAACCTTCTACTTTCTTTCTTTAAGACACAGGTTGCCTAGAGGCAAAAAGAGAATGGCACAAGAACCTCTGGGGCCTGCCCAGCAAAGTCCTCCCAGGAATCAGGGGAGGCAAGCCTTGCTTAGCACCCACCTCTACTCCTCCAAGGGGCCTCCCTCCAGCCAGGGCCAGCAGAAGGAAGTGCAGACAGCCATTAGGCAGGTGGTAGACCAGGCCCTCCTGGGCTACCTTTGGATCTGGATTGACTTCCACCTCTTTCTTCAGGGGCAGAGACCACAGTGTCCTCAGATCCCCAGGACTGGGTGGGTATTGGGAACCTGAGACAGTCTCCAGCCAAGCCCAGCAAAAGAGCTAGAACTCGACACTTCCCTCCCTGTAGTTTTGTTGTCAGTTCCGAGTCTCCTGGGAGGGAGGGACCCTGTGGGGAATATGACTTGCTGGGCTTGCACTAACCTTGGCTCTGGTTCTGACCCCTGGGGGCTGAGTCTGGGATAAGAATGGCCCCAAAGGTAGAGGGGAGGGTAATAGCCTGCAGCTGGTTCTTAGGGCTGCCAGAAGTTTGGCTTGGGGAGAGGCCCCTCCTGGGGCCAGCCTTCTGTTCCTGAGGGATGTATATAAGGGATCTTTGGAGCTTCCTAGAGGTGTGGTGACTAGGTGGGTCTGAGGCTTCTCTTTCTGATTTTAGATCTGGTTTCAGGGAGAAAACGGGGCACCTGGGAGGTTCCATTTGCACTCTGGCAGATGGACCCCAGCTCCCTGCCAAGGTATCTTAGGAAGACAGAGGCTTGCTGGGACCGGATGGCACCACTGGGAAAGGACTCTGGGAATGAAATTTTGGGTGTCATGGGATGGGGGGTGCCAAGGTGTGAGGAAGGCAGATTTTGGCCTCTGGGACTGGGCTTGGTGATAAGCACTGAGCCCCGGGACCTGGTAGGCACATGAGTTAGAGGAGGCACCATTCACCTCTCTTTAACCTTCTCCTTCAGTTCAAAGGCAGAGCCTGAGCCTGAGAAGAAGCTGGAGCATCAGCCTAGGAGCCACAGGGATGTTGGGGCCCAAAAGGAGCCTGTAGTCCCAGGCATTGTGGATTTCGAGCTGGTCCAAGAGGAGTTGAAGATCTCTAAGCCTCAAACGCCCAGAGTCTACCGCTTTGGCCGTCTCAGCCACCATTCCTTCTTCTCTCGGCACCACCCCCAACCCCAGCTTGTGACCCACATCCCAGGTAGGGCCAAGTGGGCAGGGTCTGCCTACAGGGGCCCCGTAGAGGTTGGTATTGCTAATTGGTCTTGAAATCTGGGAAAGAGACATGTGCTTTAGCCAGCCTCCAAGTAGAGTCCAGGGAGCATGGGGCCTGGCCAGGAGCCCAAGGCAGTCCAGTGGCCAAACCAAGACTAAACTGGGGAAGGAAAGCACGGGGTCCAAAGGCAGATCACAAGTTCTCTAAAGGATCTCCCTCCCTGTCTGAGTTTCCCAGTCTCTAAATCAGAAAAAGGGTCCAAAGGCAGATCACAAGTTCTCTAAAGGATCTCCCTCCCTGTCTGAGTTTTCCACTCTCTAAATCAGAAAAAGGGTCCAAAGGCAGATCACAAGTTCTCTAAAGGATCTCCCTCCCTGTCTGAGTTTTCCACTCTCTAAATCAGAAAAAGGGTCCAAAGGCAGATCACCAGTTCTCTATAGGATCTCCCTCCCTGTCTGAGTTTCCCACTTTCTAAATCAGAAAAAGGGATAGATGCCCCACTCAAGAGCTGTGCTCTGACCTCTGACTCAAGCTGCCTCATCCTTTCAGCCACCCACCCATCCATCCATCCCCAACACTTATAGCGTATGAGCTACCAGATGACTCTTTTAGTCTGTGAGGACATGACAGTGATCAAAGCAGACAGTTGCCACTGTCATCCAGTTAGGAAGTCCAGTTATTTTCATAAGGTGGCCATGAGAGACCTGGTCAATTATATAATATTGAGCAAAGAAGTAAAGGAAGTAAGGGAGAAACCATGAAGGTATCAAGGATAAGAATGTCCTGCAGAAGGTGGGGGGATGCAAAGGTCCTGGCTCTGCTGGACATATAGCCCAGGAGCTCTTGGGTGTCTGGGGCAGAGTAAGAAAGCAAAGAAAAGAGATAGCATCAGAGAAGCTGCAGGGTTGGATTAGGTGGGCCTTGCAGGCCATAGGTATTACCTTAAGCCACCTTAGTCTGGTATAGTGGTACATTCCTATAGTCCCAGGACTTGGAAGGCAGAGGCAGGAGGATTGCCCAAGTTCAAGGCCAACCTGGTCTACCTAAGAGTTCCAGGTCAGCCTGTGCTACACAGTGAAATCCTGTCTCAAAAAGTCAAACAAACAACCACTCCACTGAGTCAAGCAGGGAGGCATTGGGAGTGTGATAGCACAGAAGTGACAATGGGAGATAGTTGGCCTCTGTCTTTTGGAGACTGAACCATCAAGCAGTGAGAGTCCATAGCTGTAGTTTAGAGGTACAGATAGGAAAACCCTAGGATGTGACCCCTGACTGCGGTGCTGTGTAGAACAGCAAGACATTAAAACCACTCCACAGGGTCTCAGGTTCACAGTTGGAGCAAGTAGTGAACTTCAGTTCACCAAGACCAATAAGCTGTTAAGGACCATTGAGGGAAGGGATACAGGTGGGGAGGAGCTGAGGTGGGAGAAATAGAAGGTGCAAAATTCCAGACAACAGTTGGAATTTTAGAGGAGGAGCAGCTGGAACAGGTTGGGGAGGGCCCCCCTGTGAGAGCCATTTGAGGAAAGCAGTGCTTTAGGTAGAGTACCTAGGTGTATTGTGGAGACACAAAAGAGTAGAGCTTTGGGGGCTGGGTTCTGAGACCCCAGGATTAAGAGGCTGAGAAGACTAGATATCATTAGAGAAGATGAAGAGAGGCCAGGGAGCCAGGAGGAGCCAGAAGAGTGAAGATCCAGGGGCCAAAGAAGCCACTTCCTGAAGGAAGTAGCAGTTACACAAAGGCCTAATGATGCTGTTCCTCACTGCTGGACTCAGTGATGATATATGATTGTCCAGGGCAGGAAGGGTCCTCATGTGCAAACTGTCCTCCACCCCCTCCAGGCTGACAGAGAAGTTCTAGTTCCCATTCTAATGTCCTAATGGGGTATGTGTGTGTTCATGTATGTGCAGGTGCAAGGCTGTATGTGTAAAGGCCAGAGGACAACCTTTTAAAAATTTATTTATTTTAATTTTATGTGTATGAGTGTTTTGCCTGCATGCATGTAGGTGTACCACATGCGTACAATGCCTGTTGAAGCCAGATGAGGGCATCAGATTCCCTGGAACTGGAGTTACACTTGGTTAGCCATCATGTGGGCGCTGGGAACTGAACTCAGGTCCTCTGCAAGAGCCAGTGCTCTTAACTGCTGAGCCATCTCTCAGCCCCCCAGAAGTCAGCTTTGGTTGACAGTTTGCCTGACAACTTCTCAGGCGCCATCTTCCTTGCTTTATCTGAGACAGGCTCTCCCTTTGACCATTAACTCACCCATTTGACTAGGCTGGCTGCCCAGTGAGCCCTAGGGAGCCTCCTATCTCCACTTACCTAGTGCTGGGTGGCTCTGTGTGTGTGTGTGTGTGTGTGTGTGTGTGTGTGTGTGTGTGTGTGTGTGTACATATATATGTATATATGTGTGAGTGTATGTGTGTGTACATTGATGTATGTGGAGGTCAGAGGACAACCTCAGGAGGCAATCCTTGCCTTCCTCCACGTTTGAGACAGGGTCTTTGTTTTTTCACTGTATATGACAGGCTAGCTGGTCTGAGAGCTTTCAGAAGACTCTCCTGTCTCCACCTCCCATCTCCCATTGGGATTACAGGTGTTATCACTACATGTCTGGCTTTTACCTGGGTCCTGAGGATTCAAATTCAGATCCTCACACTTTCATGGCAATTGCTCTTACCTACTAAGCCATCTTCCCAACTCCCCACCCTACCTTTTAAAATGTGAGTTCTAGGCATTGGATTCAGGTTCTCCTGTGGACAAGGCAAGCACTTCGTCAACTGAGCTGACTCCAGTTTCCACTGTCTTCATATTTAAGCCACCTGCAATCCATTGACCTGTCGCAGAAAGCCAGAAGAATCTTAGAACAAGGGTTCCAAGAAGCCTTGGTTCTGTCTTGCCTCTGCCCAACTTTCTGGTGACCCTTAGCAGATCCTGTTTGTTCTCAGTGCCCTATGGGAAAGGTGGCTGCTGGTCTAGGTTGTTGGCTCTGACCACATGGGCTTCTGGTTACTGGGAGAGGAACAACTAGACCTCTCCCTGCCCCTTACTACCTCTTTTCAACTCCTGAAGCTCTTGGGGTCGACACTGGTCCCCCAGCCCACAGATCTCACCTTCTCTGCAGATGTTACCGGGAAGCGTGTCTGTGTGATCAGAGACGAGTTCTCCCTGGCGACCTTGCCTCAGTCCACATACTGTCTGATGGGGATACCCACCATCTCTACCCCCATTGGGGACCCAAAGTCCAATCGGAACCCCCAGCTTTCTTCTTCTGGTGGGTACTTGGGTCACACTCTTCTACCTGGGGACTTACACATCTCCCAAAGGGCTTGGATGGGTAGGGTCTGAGAAGGATAGGACCACTGCTTTTCGGTTAGGGTTCCCCTTTCCCCTCATTTTCTAGGGCAGCCTCATCTATATATCACTATCTATCTTATCCCCAGGTCACAGCCCTCAAAAAGTGCCCCTGCTTGGATTTGAGGTCTTTGAGGAGTAATGAAAAACAGAAGTCAGGCCAGTTTGGGCCATAGTCATGTGACTTAGCTACAGACAAGAGTGCCACTTGTAATATTTAGTGACACGTACACTCAGGCACCAGTGTATCAGGAGCACCACCTGCGCTGCTTTCAGGGTCAAGCGCTGCCTCTCTACTCCTGGGGTATGGGAGAGTCGAGAGGGTGGGGTATGGTAGAGATTCCAGCAAAGGGGCGGCAGCCAGTGCAGAGCAGAAGGGTTTGAGAGCTTTATACCAACTGTCAAGAGAGTGGCTCAATGTCTTAATAACAGGCACAGCATCTTTTCAAATCTCAGCTCTGGTTCCAGTTTCCTAAAAAGGAAGGTACAGCCAAATCAAACAGATCACATCTAGATACAAGTAGCCTATTGACCTCCAGCATCTCCCTGAGAGGACTTAAGCAGACTGCCAACATTAGCAACTTCCCACCCTTCTCCCCCTGGGACAGAAAGGCTTAAAAAGCAGGGGGGGGGGTGTTCTTCTGCCTAGACCCTTTCCCTTCTATCCAAACCCTCATACCACAGGGATGGCAGGCAGGGCCTCAGAATCTTATCCTGTCCTCTCAGACACCTGGAAGAAGAAGTTGAGGGATCTGGCTGCCCGAGTGGCTATCTTCACTAATGAGAATGAAGTGAAGACCAACGAGGTGGGTACAGATCAAAGGAATGAGTCTGGAAAGAAAGTAAGTAGGCTGACCCCCTTTGTAAGTTCCTTCAAAGCTCTGCTGCTAGCAATGGGAGGAGGGGACAATCATAAGGTAACAGTGAAAGTCAAGGGGCTGCAGAGATTGCTCAGTGGTTAAGAGCACTGCTGCTCTTGTAAAGGACCCAGGTTCAATTCCCAGCACCCACATGGCAGCTAACAACTGTCTGTAACTCCAGTGCCGGGGGATCCGATGCCTTCTTCTGACCTCCATGGGCATTGCACAACACGGGTGCACTTATACACATGCAAGCAATATATTCATACACATAAAAAGTAAAAACAAAGTAAATAAAATATTTTTTAAAAAAGAAAGTCAAAGGACAAAAACACACCTAGCAGAGAAATCCAAGAAGGGTTCCCAGATGTGCTTATGAGGAAGTGGGTAGTGATGGGAAGGTGAGAAAAGACTGCCTTTGGTCATAGGGAGGCAGAGTTTACTTATAACTTCCCAATGTAGGTTAGCATCCAGCCTTATCAGGAGTGGAAGATGGCTGGAGGTTTTCAAACAGAGTGGGAGTGATTTCACAGGTGCTATTCAGTGATAGAGTGGTAAAGGCAGTTTACAAGGTGATCTTCAGACAGACTTAAGTCTTTTGCAATAGGGTATGTTTTAAGTAACCAGTGTGGAGAGTTAGGGCCCTGGCTTCTAGTTCCTGTTTGCTGTTGATCACTGTGATAATGAGGGTGACTCAGCTAAGCTGTCCAAGTCTCAGTTTCTTATCTTTAAAATGGGGAGAAAACCAGGTATAGTGGTGTATACCTACAATCCCAGCATTCAGGATACAGAGGCAAGAGGATCACTGCAAGTTTGAGGCCAGCCTGCTTTACACAGCAGGTTCTTGGGGAAAAAATGTGAAGAGAGATACTCTAAGCTTTAGTTGGAATTTTAAAGGCAGGAGGCCCTAGGCCTTGTGCCTAGGGCAAACAAAGGATGTCAAGAGCTGGGAAAATAGCTCATTCAGTAAAGTGCTTGCCTTGCAAGCATAAGGACCTGAATTTGATTCTTAGAACCTACTTTAAAAAGTCTGGAATGGTGGCATACACTTATTATTATTAATTATTTCAATGTGTATGACTGTAAATGCACCATATGTGTGCAGTACCAATGGAGGCCAGAAAAAGACATCAGATCCCCTGGAACTGGAGTTACAGAAGGTTGTTAACAACCATGTGGGTGCTCTGTAAGAAGAGTCAGTGATCTTATCCACTGAGCTAGCTCTCCAACTCGTAGTGTACACTTATAATCACAGTGCTAGAGAGACAAACAGGTACAGCTAAGTTCCACACTAGTAAGAGACCTTGTTGTTTTTTTTTTTTTTAAAGGTGGACTACACTTGAGAGTGTCATGTGAGGTTGTACACGCATACACACACACACACACACACACACACACAGAAAGAAAGAATGTCAAGTTGTAGGGGACAGACTTCAGACACGGGCAGCTGAGCTAGGAACTGGGATGGACAATGGAGCCTTGGCACTGGATGCTGCTCTCATACCCCTGATGTGCCAGGAGGGGGCCACATGGAGGACCCTCCAAGGAGGACCCACAAGGGGCACCTGCATTCAACCTCTGGGTACTGAGTTTGGGTGCAAGGGGGAGTCAGGACCAATGAAGAGGGGGCCTGGGACAGGGTAGAGATGGCTCCATGGCATTTGTGGTCCCTGGCAACATTATAATGCTGAGATTTGGGGGAGGTGGCACCCCATGTGACCCAGCCTCTTCATCTGTTCGCCTCTGCTTTCTCCCTTTCCTCTCACTGGCTCCCAGAATCTCTGGCTACTTTTTGTCCCAGCAGAAAGAGGAGCCTCCTCTGAGGGAGCAGGGAGCCAAGTACTCAGCTGAGACTGGTAGGCTCATCCCTGCATCCAGTCAAGCCCTCAACCGGCGCAGCCTCCAGAGCCAGCGGGGCCACCCTTCTGGCAGAGATGGAGGAGGCCAAACCTCCCTGATGCAGGACCAGGAGCTGCTGGTAAGCCTTTCTCTGGGGGCAGAGGCTATAGTAGTCCTTGCCTCCAGATTCCCAGGCCTCCCAGTCATCCTTCCAGACTGTCTTAGACGTGGCCTCTCCAGGGACATCGCCTCCCTGAGACTGTAAGATCAGAAAGACCTTGCCCCAGAAGTCATCCTGGGCTCCCAGCTCCTCTGCTTCTAGGGAGCCTGTGTTGGCCTGGTTCCCCTCTATGTAAGTCCTCTCCCCAGTGGGTCATGTGCCATGATCTGGCCAAATCGGGAGTATGTGTGTACTACCATGGAAGGACCATCCCAGCAACAGCATCTGTAATCCTTGAGGAAGCCATTCAGGAACTGAAAAGGACCTGCCCAGTATATGCTCAATCCATAACCTGTAAGGCTGGTCCGGGCCTGGCCTTTGAAAGGCTTCGGCCTCCCAAGCTCCTTTTCCCATCAAGGCTTGACAGTGGACTAGGTAAGGCATTGAAGATCCCGGTGAAAATACTCCACATATCCCCCAGGGAAGGTTATAGAGCCTATGTTCCGACTTTCCTTTGGGAGGGTAGTGCCTTTGAGCCCAGCAAAATGGATGGAACAGACAGATCCCAGGATCCCCGACCCATAGATGAGGAGGATGAGTCTCTGTCGGGTGGTGGTCTGTGGCTTCCCCAGAGAAGGACCAATCTGGCTAGGCTAGAATCAGTACTTTCTCTACCACAGGGCAGCCTCACCACACCTGGAGTTAGGTTCTCAGGTCCCCTGGGGAGGAGGGGGCGCAGGGCAGGTAAGGAGGATGGCGAGAATGGGGAAGGATTCAGGGGCAGCTCAGGGTGGGTCACCACTGGAGGTGGGTGCTGGGGGGTTGCGTATGGTGGGCATCAAGCAGGCATAGGCCTGGGGGAGAAGTTCAGCCCAGTTCCTACTCTGCCAAGGACTAGACAGACCCGCCAGGTTCTGATAGACCCCTCCAGGTCCTTGGGAAGGCTGACTGGCAAGTTCTGTGGGAACTCCACTTTCCTAGGACTCCTGGGGCTCTACCTCCTACAGCAGGTCCCCACTCCAGCCCTCCATAGCTACAGCCGCCACCTGCAACCTGGCCTAGGAAGCCCCCAGAGCTTAGCCTGGACAGAGATGGACCATTTCCTGCCACTACTTGACTGGAGGAGGCTGGGGAAGCCACAGGCTGAGGAGGCAGCTAGGAGCCAAGAGTCCAGGCTACTCCACTGGATGGAGTCCTTTACTAGGCACCAGGCAGAAGCAGCCCACTCTGGCCAGCAGGCTGGCTACAAGTCCCCCACTTCCTGGCTAACATCTCCAGGCTCTTGGAACTCTGGGGTAGGGAGTCCTGTGGGGTACCCTGAGGCCTCATCATCCAAAAGATCCCAGCATGCAGTACTTGGTGCGTCTCTGAGGAGGTGATTAGCCACCTCTGATTTTGTTGTCCCAGTGAGGGCCCTGGAGTCCAACCAGCCCAAGGAGACTACAGGGATAAGGGGTCTATCTATCTGATATCCAAGGCTTGATTCTGCCCTAAAGTTCCTGCTCAATGCCTTATTCTCTCAAGGCCTCACGCTCTACCTGTCCAGAGCAGAGCATAAGCCTCTCCCTCTTAGGCCTATTGTAAGAAAAAGCGGCCCCCACCCCAGTGCAAAGTCCCATGGAGTGCCTTCGTGGGGACCAGTTTAGCCAAGCATGTGGCCCAGGGAGCCCATGTCAGAGGGAGGAGCCCTGGCATTCCCTGAACCCACATTTGCCTGCACTCCTAGCAGGAGTGTGCCGGGGGGCTCTCCCTGACCCCAACCTGTCCTCCTGAACACAGATTCTGGAGCTCCTTTGTCAGATTCTGCAAACGGATTCTCTGAGGGCTATCCAGTTCTGGCTACTCTACGCTCCACCAAAGGGTGAGGACACAGCCATGTGGCCCTCTATGTGGAGGCTGCCCTTGTTCTTGGTTCTACAGGACTCAGATATCTGTCACTCAGCTCCTACCCCAGGCTCTCCCTCTGTTCCTTTTCCCCAGAGAGTTCCAAAGCAACACTTTCCAGCTGGGCTTTCCAATATTACTAACTTGTTCCTCTCCTCCTCAGCAAGATTTCTGGGGCCCCACTCTCTTGAGGGGACCCCTCTTTTGCACTGACCTCAGATCTAGGTGCCTAGGAGGGAGAAAGCCAAAGATTGTACCTAGCAGACACAGCCCCACCTCCCTTCTGTGGGAAACACACAGGCACACAGGTGCAAATACAAAACACACAGGTGCATGCTCAAGAGCCCATGCACACGCACATGCACACACACACACACACACACACACACACATATACATAAAAGGAGGGATGAGGAGAGATGGAAACTCACCCACCAAAGAATGCTTTTGAGTGGGAGAGGAGTAGGCGGGAGAAGACAGAGAGGAGAAGGAGAGGGATAAGGAACAGGAGGA